AGTGTCACACAATATGGCAGAGCCTTCTGTTTTAGACGGAAAAAAAAAAAAAAAAAAAAAAAAAAAAAAAGTCACGTGGACGAGTTCGGTGAGGATGATTTACAGTGAAAACGTCTAGCACCTCGAATCAAAAATTGTCCTTTTGTGCTTCTGTCTTTGAATCATCATGTAAAAATTGGTAATCTTGTTTTGGCCATGAAAGATTTTGTTAAAAAGGATACACCCGATTTTTTTAAGCTATAAAATCCACAACGATACAAAATGACCACATAAATACTTCAACCTATAATAGCATGAAGATGCTGATGAGCACTAATTCTAKACGCAGAACACTTTGAAAAGAAAAAAACAAATGAATAAAATAAAATAAAAAACCACAAAGCCCTGATTGTCTACCTCTATAAATGATCCAATTCCATGTGGGATGGCCCACTGCTAAATCTCTTTGTTAAAAGTGATGCATAGTTAAAAGTATTCACTTCAATGAACATTCACCAGCTTAACATAGCAGTCCAACTAAAGCAGGAGGTTATGATGTATGAATTTCATTAGTAAGATTGAACATCTGCATTTAAAACTTGTATACAAAGTCAATTTTAGACAAAACGTGGGCCAGTCTTTAAAAAGTTCTCTAAAATGTTTCAGCAGTCCACTGAAAGCTTATTCAAAATATATTCTTTTTAAGCAACAATTATGGTTTAGTAAAAAGACTTTTTAAAAACTAAAAGTTGCATAAACCTCAAGCTCTTTGTGCGACCACTGCTCTCAGTTCTTGAAGCAAAATCTACATACAGGTGGTTTTACTGAATTTTGATCAGTTTAAATGTAAAAAAAGAAAAAAAAAAAGCTTCAGCTTTAAATCCACTGTACCGAATGCCCAGATAGAAGCCACACAAAGACCCCGCGCTCATAACGACACTGCAGAAAATACTTTTCTGCTAATATATACAATCAAAAAAAAGTGGGGTTGAGGTGTGTCAAATAAAAACAATTACTAAAAAATGTCTACAGGTCAAAAACTTCTCAGCTACATGCATATTCATTAAAGATAAAAAAAGGGAAAATACTTTAAAAAAATAATAAAAGAGGAACAAAAATATTCTGTTATGTTCCCCTGGTTATTTCTACATCTTGTGTCTTTATCAGCACGGCTTAGAATACTGGAAGGTGTTCTTGTCGGGATCCAGTCCCAGGACATCAAGTTTGCTTTTGTTTTTTTACTGGTCCGGACTAACAACTGGGTTAGAGAGATAATGACGTTAAACGTCTCCAGAATGAATAAATATGGAGGAATTTACCCTTCAGCTGTTCCCAGGTTTAGTAGAAAATGACCACTGATGAGAATTAAGGACAAATACTGAAACTCCTAAAGTGGGCTCATGAGATTTAAACGAAAAGGAGAGATGGTCCCAAATGGCACTTTTTTCAACACAGAATGACTGATGAGGAAATAACATTTAAAAAAAAAATCAGATCAAGTACTTTTGTCCTTGAAGTACCCCATCCTGCTCAGTGCACTTTACTTTCATTGAATGTTTGTCAAACGAGTAAAATATGAGGCATAAAAAACAGRCTCGTTTTAAAAACTTCTCGCTTGAAGCACTGAGACGCATTAAACAAAATAAAAAGAATGGAAGAGGCTTCTGCTCACTGTTATAATGTAACTAAACCAAAAAATGTGAAAATTTCTTTAAGAGTGCAAACTTTAACTTTTCAAAAGTGATTTTTGAATAGTATTTGCCCAAACAGTAAATCCAATCTCTTCCTGCTAAACTTTCCTTCTAAAGTCTAAATCGATGGCTTACAATTGTCGACTTATGAGCCTCTGATAGGTTTAGTTTGTTGGGGAGGGAGATATGAAACCACTCGTATTTGTACAGCTGACAGCGGGGGGGTAGTGTGTTCCATCTGTGGGGTCTCGCCCACGCCAACCTGGGGGCTGAGAGGTGCTCTCAGGCAAAGTACATGGTGCGCAGGGTGTCCTGGTGGATCTGGACTGCCTTGGCCAAGGCCTGGTGGTCTCGTCCGTTGCTCTGGCCTGATGTATGGCTGCCCTCCGCACTGAAAAGGATAAATTAAAATTAAAATGTGTACATTTTACAGTGATGTACATTTATTAATCCTGATTACAGTGAAGCCCCACAAAGTCATGATTTAGAGTTCATGGCCTCAATCGTTTGCAGATTTTTCCTTAGAAAATAGCTAATAAGTTTGCAGAAACCACAGCAAGTTAAACAGAAACTGCAAAACAATTCTCTGCAGTTTTCCTGTTTTTGTGGCAATAATGTTTTTCACTTGAGGAGCTGTAAATCCTCTGCTTTGCTGTGCAGCCTTCATCTTCATCGTACTGCCCAACCAATCATCATGGCTTGCCTGGTCTGCACCCACCAGAAAGGTCCAGGCTGGGAATTGATCCTGCGACCTTCTTGCTGATAGGACACATTAAGATCCTTACCTGTCATGCTCTTTGTCCACCAAGTGATAGCGGGCCCGGAAAGCCACTAAGTGAGCATAGTAGGCTGGTGCTGGGATGGAAACGGAACGTGTGCAGCGCACATAGGTATGACAGAGCTGGTAGGTGAGGACCTGCAGTTCATCTGAGGAGAAGTGGTTATCGTCCCACAGAACATGGTAGTGAGACGGTCTGCTCGTTCCCTGCAAGGAACAAAACAAAGAACGTTGATGCAAGAGTTCACAACAAACAATCTGTATTAAATGCAGTTTTGAGGCCTCAGTTTACCAGGATCTGATCCCAGTTCAGCTCTTACCTGAATGCCAGCGTGACTGCAAAGGTAGAAGTCGAACTCTGATGGGTGAGTGATTTTGGTGTCCACTGTGGTGCCTGCAGGAATGTTGCCACTCTTTCCAACCTGTACAAACATTAAAAATGTTTTGCTAAGCTGCGACTGAATTTAAACTATAGTTTGCTAGACAGAAGAGAAACATTTTTAATAAAACCACAGGACACTGCAACAAACTTGATATCAGCACACTTTTTAAAAATGTACAAAACTTACAATTTAATTTTAAATTGGCAATCCTAGTCATTCTGTTAAATACAAAACAAAAAACAAAAAAATAATTTAAAAAAATCTGAATTTCTGTTAATATCATACTGACCCTCTCATTCCTGTCCACACAGAACAGCCTTGTATGGTGTCTCTTCTGTACAACCACGAAGGTGATTCCAGGCTGATAATCTTTCTCTAGTTTGATGCAAGCCTCGCGAATTGCCAGCAGTTCATGTTGAAGAACCTGTGTGTAAAACAAGTTCATGAGCTTGTTTATTAAAAAACAATGTTCTCTTTTGACATTTACTTTATTATCACTGATCTTACCTGACTAAATTGGCCCTCAGAGATCCCATCTCGATAGTAGATGATTCTGGTGGGCTTGAAGCGAGTGGACTTGTAGAACTGGATGAGCAGCTCTCGCACCATGTTGGCCAGATCCTGGATGATGTCCTGGCGGTGCTGCTGCACTCGCACTGTGGCACAGTATCGACTGGGATGGGCATCCATACTACCAACCACCTGACGTGAAACATGAAATGTAACGTTAGTAGATAATTTCTGGAAATAATTACTAAATGTATGCATTTTAAAAAAATAATGATGCTCTGTAAAGTTACTTACAGCAGCAATAGAAGGTTTCTTTCCATCTCCTGCAGGTGGATGAGTCACATCTGAACCCAGGAAGATCACTGGCTGCTGGAACACCAACGGCCTTCACAGGAACAAGCAAAGCAGCATTTATGGACAAAATCCCACTAAGTAGAAATTTCCTTTTTTTTTGGCCTAAATCTAAAAGTGTGCTTTTATGACAAATTGCAAAGGATCCCCACTGACCTGCCCTGTGGGAGTAGGATGTTGTTGACTCCGCCCAGCTTGACGTTGATCTTCAGACAGAGGTTGGAGAGAGTCTGAGGTGTTGTCTTTTGTACGTTCTTCACCTGAACACACTGTGTGGCCATTCCGAGCACTGTGTCTCCAACACGTTTCACCTCCGCTGGAAATACAGAAGACATTCAAGTTCAGACTGCAGCCACTTTAGGAGTAGCCTGGCCCTTGCCTTCCTACGCAGCTCCGCTCAATTCTAGTTTCCCCTTCACTGCTCCGTCTGGGACTTCTCCTGTTGAGATGGATTTCGCTGGCAGATTTTTAGCCGGACCAATCAGAGAAGAGAAGGCGGAGTTTTAAACGACGTCGACTTTCTGTGCAGTGTCTGCTAGTTAGCTTAACATACGGCAGTGGAGGAAGAGAATGAAGCCAGTCCGTGTTGATAAGGCTTCCAAATTAAAATAAATTTGTCTGACAAAGCAGCAGCTCTCATTTTTCGGCTCGGTACTTCTCTCCTCTCAGTAGGGTTGTTTATAACATACGCGATTTCTGGTTAGCTTCTTAGCTTAGCCTCCTTCACAGCAACATACGTCACAGCCAACTGATCCAATCATTTTAAACTTCAGCAGAGGCCACGCCTCCTGCAAGAATCACTTGTCTATGCATCAAGTCCAGACCCTTGTACTAAGCAAAGTGAAGTACAGGGTCTAGTTAAAACCAGGATACTTTAGGAGCAAAGTTTGAGGACAACAAAAAAATGTAACATACATTTTATAAAGTAAAGGAATGTTTTTTTATTTGGTTGTAAATAGCTTTGCTAAAGGAAAAAAGTGGAAAGCAAATTGAATTAATACACTTTTGTTCTGATCTTTAGCCATATTTTTCTAATTGTATGTGGAGATATGTCAGCAATACCAAAACACTACCAACTATGGGAGAATGGCACTTGATTAAAGTCCGGATGAAGCTGAAGTTCTCAAGATCTGGTCACAGTGCAGTGAGACTAGATGTTTGCTTGTTTACAGATAGTCAAAGCTAGTATTTCTTTTAAAGAGAAACTCAACCATGTGTTTATGTTTGATGAGTCTTTAGATTAGACAAAGTTAAGACATTATAAATAGCCCCCTCACCATAGACCGGTGTCTTCCCAGGAAGGATGACCACCACCAGCTGCAGACCCTGGTAAGTGTACTTGAGGTGTCTGAACATCGGCTCCACACTGTCGGCTCCCTGGGCGTACTTGCAGAAACAAGGCTGACCTTGAATGGGCATCCCGGCATCACGAGAGATCTTCCTCAGCTGGTCTGTGAAAGCCCTAAGAACAACAAAATAAGTTCAACTTCTCCTTCTTCAAAGTGCTCTCAATTCCATTTCAAGCATTTAAATTGCTAATTAGTCTAATTCATGGTTCTTAAAGTTTGCATATTTAGGAGCACAAACATGAAAACTACACTAGAGCAGATATAATCTGTGGATCTCACTTACTTGAGCAGAAGTTCGGTGCACTGTCTCTGTGGGGCAAAGCAGGCGATGGCCCACACTTTGATCTCAATACCTGTGTGGAACTGCTTGTTCCTCATGTCCCACACTCCTTGGATCGGTGTGGCTATTGCTTTGTTCTGAAAATTTAAATACCAGCAGTCCTATTAATGCATGTAACTTCACAAAACTGTGTTGGGGTAAACGCGTAGGCATCGATCAAGAGTTTTATGAACATACCCTGCCGCCGTACAGTATTGAAGGTGCTTGTAAGACTCGGCCATTCACTTCTGTCATTTCATCTTTCACCATCACTCCGAATTCACGAACATAAGGGTCAGTGTTGAAGTTGGCACTTCTCATCTGGTAAAAAGAAAAGAAAGTAATGATGTTTTTTTAAATTACTGAAAGAAATCTACAACTTGTCAAAAAGGTGCTGATTATAGAACTAAAAACACTTCTGCAGGCTCTTGAAGAAAACAGTTCCAGTACGAGTGGTTTTAAGAATGGTGTTTCTATTTGTTTTCTTGTTGCCAGAGAAATGCTGCAGACAGACTACACTACAGTTACAGGTTATGTACATCAAGAATGTCACGATTACAACAAAGTATGCATATTTTTTTAAAATARGAGCTTGAAATTCCAAGTAGAAAGTGCGCCAGGAGGGTAAAACTACCAAAACGGATCATTACTTTCATTAGTGCTG